CAAAAACAAGATATAAAGCATATACTGAAACCAGTGCTCGTCGTGGGTACATACATGACGGCATTTTACAAAGTAGACACACATGTAACCAGCATCAGGCCAGGACATGCTACAGACTCCCCGATTCCCCTTCTACTCAGTGCCCACCCTTTCGAGGGTGGTATCCTGACTTACAACTGTCGATTACTCTTGCGTGGCTTTGAACATTATATGAATGGAATTACACACGTGTTGTTTTGTGAGTGCCTTAATTAAACATGTTTGTGAGACTCATCTGTGAGTTGCAGACAGTGTGGTTGTGGCTTACTTTTTCACTGTGGGATAGCATTCAGCTGCATGAATAGACGATAGTTTATGAATCTTACTTCACACGGTGTCCTTTTGTTTGTTAACAGGGTTTAGCTATTATGATTACTGAGACTGTGGACATTTCTGCATATGTCTTTTGGTGCAGGTGTGTACACATTTCTGTTGGGTGTACACGGTACTCCAGGCTTTCAAGTCAAGGAATCTAATGTCCCTGCCAGCTGTGCATGAGAGTTGGCATCCTTGTCAACACCAGTGTTGTGTTTTGCATATCTGCTCTGGCAGGCGTGTGGATTTCGTATACATTTCATTTCATTGATGACTAATCCAATTTCATAGATTTGCTGCTCATTTGGATATCCTGTTTTTGAGGTGCTTGTTTAAGTCTTTGGCCCATTTTGCTGTTAAGGCTGTTTGTTTCTAATTGAGATTCCATTGTTCCTGATATAATCTGGCTGAGTCCTGTATCACATATATTTTTGTGAATATCTTTTCCCTTTCTTTGGCTTTTTTATTTTTATATTTTTGAGATGGAATCTTGCTCTGTCACCCAGGCTGGAGTGCAATGGCATAATCTCAGCTCACTGTAACCTCTGCCTCCCAGGTTCAAGTGATTCTCCTTGCCTCAACCTCCTGAGTAGCTGGGATTACAGGTGCCTGCCACCATGCCCAGCTAAGGTTTGTATTTTTAGTAGAAATGGGGTTTTACCATGTTGATCAGGCTGGTCTCGAACTCCTGACCTCAGGTGATCCACCCCCCTCAGCCTTCCAAAGTGCTGGGATTACAGACATGAGCCACTGCGCCCAGCCTCTGTGGCTTTTCATGCTCTCAAGAAGACTATTTTGATAAACAGAAGTTCTTAAGTGCTGTGTTGTCCAATTTGAAATTATACTGTCTTTGTGGCTTATATTGTTTTCTCTTTTGCACTTAGATCAAATACTCCACCTGGAATTGATTTTTGTCATTATTGTGAGGGGAGGGGCTAAGCTTTATTTTTTTCCCTAGAGATAGAAGCTTAAATCATTGATATCAACCTTTCTTTCTAATACATAGATTAGAACTCTTAATTTTCTTCTAAAATTGCTTTGGATGCAACAGTGAATTTTGATATATTTTCAGTATCACTCAGTTTCAAATGTTTTCTGATTTCTGTTACAGTTTCCTCTTTTGTACTATGGGCTATTTAGAAGTGTGTGTGGCTTAATTTTGAAAGGCAGGATTTTCTAGTTACTTTTTCTTATCGATCTCTGGCTTAATTCCATGGTGGCCAGAAAGCAAATTGAGGAATTCTAATCCCTTGAAATTTGCTGAAGCTTGTTTTATGACTCGGTGCATGTGAGCTATATTCTTGTGCAGTTGAGGAGAATGTGTGTTCTGTGGTTGAGGGCAGGGCTCCACATACATCATTTAGATCCAGTTTGTAAGTTGTGTTGTTCAGCTAGTTGGATATTTACTGATGTTCTTGTCTGCTTATAGAGTCTCTGTCTTGGTTCAGGGTGCCATAACAAAACACCACAGACTAGGCAGCTGAAACAGAAGGAATTTATTTCTCACAACTCTGGAGGCTGGGACGGCCAGGACCAAGGTGCTGGCCTCAGTTCCTGCTGAAGCTGCTCTTCCTGGCCTGCAGATGGCACCTGCTCCCTGTGCCCTTACGTGGCAGGGAGCGAGAAAGGGAGTGCTTTTGTGTCTCCTCTCATAAGGACACTCACCCTGCTGGATCAGGGCTTCACCCTATGACCTAATTTGACCTTAATTGCTTCTGTACAGGCCACATGTCCAAAAACAGTCACATTGGGGATTAGAGCTTCAGCACAGGAATTTTGGGAGACACATTCAGTCCACAGCATTCTTCTCCTGGCCCCTCAAAATACATATAGAAAATACATTTCACCCCAGCAGTCCCCAGAGTCTTAACTCATCTTTAGATGCTCTGTAGTACAAAATCTCATTTAAATATCATCTAAATCAGCCGTGGGTAAGACTAAGCTATGATTCATCCTGAGGCAAAATTCCCTCTCTAGCCATGAGCCTGTGAAACCGTACATGTGATGTGCATCCAGAATAAAAAGATGGGTCAGGCCTAGGGTAGACATACTCATTTCAAAAGGGAGAAGCACAAGGAAGGGATCGTAGGTCTCAAGCCAGTCCGAAAATTAGCAAGGCAAATCCCATCAGACCCTAGGGCTCGAGAATGGTCCTGTTTGGTAGGTGCTGTGGCCCCAGCCCCCTGGGGGGGCAGTGTCACTGCTGTGACTTGGTGAGGCTGTCCAGCCCTGCTGGCCCTCTGCAAGGGCAGCCCACTCTAGAGGCCTGCGAAGACCAGGGGACAGCCCATCTTTGAAACTGAGGAAGAAATGGCCTTATCCCTTGGGCCTGGGGTGGAAGTGGTGGCTCTGATGTTCTCTGAATCAGGTTAGGGGTCATTCTTTCCCTTCTTTGGAGAGTAGTGCATGTTTGCAGCCCAACAGCCATTTTGGCCAGGCTGGCTTAGAACTCCTGACCTTGTGATCCACCCTCCTTGGTCTCCCAAAGTGCTGGGTTTATTGACGTGAGACACTGCGCCTGGCCTGTGTCAGGATTTTCTATCACGGACAGGGAGGCTAATGGTCTAGGTGTAATTTCATTCATGGTTATTAGAAAAGGCATCTCAGCCAAATGTGGTGGCTCAGGCTTGTAATCCCAGTGCTTCAGGAGGCCAAGGCAGGAGGATCACTTGAGTCTAAGAATTTGAGACCAACCTGGGCAACATGACAAGACTTGCCCACAAAGCAGAGGCACCAGAAGTAGAAGTGCCAGTCTTCTGTTGTCACTTCCATCACATCCACCATGTCCTGCAGGTCGCTGAGATTCAGGGGAGGGAGGAATGGCGAGGTCTTGCTTGGGGAAGACCTGCTGGGAAGAAGACAGTGCTGCAGCTGGACCCAGGCAGGGCGTGACTACTGGAGGCTGCTTCCCCCACAAGGCTCAGAGGGCCAGGCAGGGGCAGTCACAGGCCTGCATTCCTGGACTCTCCCCTATTACTTTTCAGGCTGTGAATTGTCCAACACCTCTTGAAAAGTGGAGAAATCATTCTGAAGCCTTGAAACAATTTTCTTTCTCATCGTTCACTGGTGACTTGGGCTGAATAAGGAATTAGCCTGTTTTCGAACCAAGACACTTGAATTCTTTTCTGCTGGCTAAGAAGCAGCAACCAATAAGGAATCTTGTTCAAAACTACGCTCTGAAGTCAGTGTTTGTCTGACGCCCCCTTTGGGTTTTGCAGTGCTATAACCCACTTCCGGAGGCTGTTTCATGGGTGAAACACCTAGGAGCAGACCCACTTGGTTAGGAACCCAAATTGACTTCCTTCCTCAGACATCACCTCCAAGAGAAACCCTGCCTGACTGTCCAGGGGCTGTACCTGTAAACACACCGCTTTATATTTCTCTGCCCTGAGCCCTACTGTGCATCAGGTTGTTCTTGAGAAAAGTGCAAGATGTTTAAAAATGTTTTCTGCTGAGTTTCATAAATACACCTTCAGAAACACAACACTGTTTAACAACAATTTAATGTGAATCACATGTAATCTTCTACCAGCAGTCTTAATATATGATTATACTCTATTATCCACTTGGTAAAATGTGTGGACTCTAAAAGAAATTCTTAAATACAGAACTAATGCCATATTCAGTCATTCATTGCTGAAGAGGTATATTTGTTCCCCACCAACCTATGTCAGATGGAAACTTTATCCAAATTTATGAAATGTGCTATCTAGAGTACTTTCTGAAAATTATGCAAAATTATGAAATGTGCAATCTAGAGTACTTTCTGGGGAAAAAAATCAGTCATTCCACAAACGAGTATGTTCCAGTCACTGTCAGGTGCTGAAATATACAATTGAACAAACAGATATTTTACCCTCATGAAATTTATGTCTTAGTAGAGAAATGAGGACATGAAGAGAACAGCTGGGTTTATTCATGTAAGAAAATAGTATGTGGCTTTAATTCTTGGATAAAAAGAAAGGAGCAATTGAATAATTGCTGAAAGAATTTCAACAAATAGAATTATACTAATATATTCAAATTGTCATATAAGATTTTTATAAGGAAAATCAGTATATTTTAATAGATATATCAATATCCATTTATATATAAATATGCAAATTTTAACATTTAATATAATTACTAATTTTGTACTTTTATTGATGAAAATTTCCAAACATACACAAAAGTAGAAATTGCAGTGAACCCAATATACAACACCCAAGTTCAACAATCAAAAATATTCTGCCATATTTATTTTACAGATTCTAATCTTTCTTTTTGCTGGAGTAATTTTAAAGTAGATTTCAAACATTTTGCCCTTTCACCAATAAAAATATCAGTTGCATCTCAAATTTTAAGAAGACATTTTCTTATATAACCACAATGCCATTTTCACACCTATGAAAAACCATAATTTTTAAATGTCAGTTTTACCTGGTTCATAGTCGAACTCACATTGTCTAAAAAAGAAAATATTTTCACAGTTCAATGTTTTATTCCCATCAGAGTTCAAACAAGGTTCACACATTGTGTTTTGTTCCTGTGTCTCTTACACCTCTTACTATCACAGACGCCTCCCAGCCCGCTTCCACCTTTTGTGTGGTGTGGATTTGTCCTGCTATTGACGTGCGGAGGAGGCGGAGTCAGTCATCCCACAGAACGCCTGCATTCAGACGTGACGGACATTTCATCGCTGTTTAGCCCTTCTAACCCCTGCGTTTCCTGCAGAGTAGAATTTAGCTCTAAATACTTGAGTAGATGCCAGTTCTGTTTTTAAAGAATCTTCAAATCACTAAATGTGATTTATTCAAGTTAAATGAAAGGTATTTGTGATGGTTAATGTTATGTGTTAACTTGAGTAAAACACACTTCCCAGATATTCAGTCAAATGTTATTCAAGATGTTTCTGTAAAGGTATTTTTAAAGATATGATTAACATTTAAATCAAAAGACCTTGAGTAAAGCAGATGATCTTCCATAATGTGGCTGCACCGCATCCAGTCAAAGGCCCCAATAGAAAAAACACTGACCTCCCCTAAAGAGCAGGGAATTCTGCCAGCAGACTCGGACTCCAGCCTGCTGACTTATCTCGCAGATTCTGGACTTCCTAGTCTCCACAACTGCATGAGCCAATTCCTTAAATATCTCTCTATAGATATAGAGATATAAATATAGATATAGATGCGCGCGCGCACACACGCACACGCACACACACACACACACACACACGTGCGTGCGCGCTATTTCTCTGGAAAATCCTAACAAATACAGCACTTTTCAGAGGAATTTTAGTGAGGAATATTTAAATAAATGTATCCCTCCAAAATATGAAAAGGGTAGCATAGAACATTAAACTACCAAAAATAGTGTTTAAAAAGTTGAACTTATGTTTTGCACCCCCTGCCAACCTTTGTGTCTTTTGTATTCAGACTTAACTTAGAGTTAGGGGTGAACTTTTGTACTTGGATGGAAAGAGAGTAAATTGTTGAGGGCTATGGCGGAATTTTCATCTGCATTTATTTTAACAGAAATCATTTTATATTAATCTTGTTCTAGTACATAAAAAACAAATTTATGCATTCCTGTTAGGGCTTTTCTCATTCTCTACTTTTAAGTATATTTTCATGTGTTACCCATTTCTTCATCTGTAAAATTGTCAGCAATAGTCTCTGCTTTAAGACGGACCATACACCAGCCTGGGTAACGTGGCAAAACCTCATCTCTACAAAAAATACAAAAATTAGCTGGGCATGGTTGTGCATGCCTATAGTCCCAGCTCCTCAGGAGGCTGAGTTGGGAGGATCGCCTGAGCCCGTGGAGGTCGAGGCTGCAAGTGAACTGTGATGGCACCACTCCATTCCAGTCTGATGGCCCATACAGAGTCTGACCCAAAGTAGCAATAAGTGGTAGTGATCATCAATATCATTATCAGCATCATTCTCACAGTCATCACCACCACCATTCTCATCATCCTCGTATCATCATCATCACCATAGTCACCATCACCACCCCCATCATCACCTTCATCACCACCACCTTCATCACCATCATCACCATCACCACCCCCATCATCTTCATCACCATCATCACCATCACCACCCCATCATCTTCATCACCATCATCACCATCACCACCCCCATCATCACCTTCATCACCATCACCACCACCTTCATCACCATCATCACCATCATTACCTCCATCATCATCTTCATCACCATCATCACCATCACCACCACCTTCATCACCATCATCATCATCACTACCACCTTCACCATCATCACCATCACTACCACCTTCATCACCATCATCACCATCACCACCACCTTCATCACCATCACCATCACCACCACCTTCATCACCATCATCACCTTCATCACCATCACCATCATGACCCCCATCATCACCTTCATCACCATCATCATCACCATCACCACCAATAGCAGCAGCAGCAGCTTCCCATCATCTTCATCTCACCATCACCACCAACACCACAGCATTACCATCACCACAACTCAATTTACTTTGCTCTGCATCTGTGTGCAGAGCTCCTCATGTGGCAGAGGATGCACTCACTTTCAGAGTGCGTTAATAAAATTTCATTTAAATTTTTTAACTAGACTCATTGTGAGTCCACACTTACAATACCCCCAGCTGATGTGGCCAGCCTACCCTGAAAGACGATTCCTTGCTCTCCCCAGGGCCTGGCTCCTCCAGCATTACTCACGGCCCCCTGGGCCTTGTGCAGTAGAGCAGAACAGTTCGAGTGAGGTCTGTGCATCAGGGGGAAGGCAAGCACGGCAGAGGTGATGGAGACGCCAGTGCCTGCTCATCCCACTCCTTTTCCATCCCACGGGGACCTGCTCTTAACATCCCCGAAATCACCGTCCATCACTCCAGTGCCTGTCACAACACATGGTCAGTCTGGTGCCTGCCTGGCAGCTGGGTGACCTTGGGGAAGCCTCTCAACCTCTTCAAGCTCCATTTATTAATCTGTAAATGAGGACTAATGTGGCTTTCAGGGCTCTGTGGGCATCCCTAAGTGGGAATGGGCCTGCCCCGAACACAGGGATAAAGAGAGTTCAAGAGAGGTTTGGGAGATGGATGGACGGATTGATAGGTGATGGGCTGGAGCGTGTCTCTTGTTGTGCAGTTTCCTCAGCACTTCCATATGCTTCATCCTTACCACGTCCCTGAGAGCCAAAAGGGCAGAAACAGTCCCCCCGCAAAGAAAAAAACCTTCCCAAGATCCCGGTGAGGGGGACCGACTTCACAGCGAAGGGCAGCATGTCCTGATTAGCACCCACTGCACTGCATGGGTCCCGGGTCACGCAAGGCCAGTGCTTCTTATATGAATAATGTATGGACAATTTCTAAAGAAAAAAAAAAATCTCATAACCCACTAATGCCAAACTAAGTTGTTTTTAATCATACAACAATTATATACTGATATAAACTCAATGTAAACTCAAATCAAATAGCCAAATTAGATGCTGCTAAGCCCGCCATGCCTATGACATCAGCCAACAGTGAGCACCCATGGGAGAGCCCTGACGTTGCTGCGGGCCTCTGGGCCGCCCATCTTTCCTCAGGGGCAGTCTGTGGGCCTCCCCCGATAAACACCCACCTGCTCCTGGGGATGGGGCTCCCCCGGCCTCAGACTCTTAGGGGTGAGCTTGCTCCTTGCTTGTGGCAGGGTGACAGGTGCAGGCCCTCCCCAGGCACTGGCCACTGATGGCTTCTACGAAAAACCCAAAGCCTCCCTGTAGGGGTGCAAGTGCTGGGGTGGGCAGAGGGCTGCCCACTCACCCGGGCTGATGGAGCTGCTAAATGCCTCTGGCCTGTCCAGGGGTGACCAAGCAGGATGTTCCCCGTTGGCCTCCAGAACCCCCCTCAGCCCCTCTGCGTCCTGTGTGCTGCCTGCAGGGGCGGTTCCAGCAGCCTCCCTGGACGCAGTTTTGGTTGGTTTTGTCCAATGAGAGCAAGAAGCCAGAGGCAACTGCCTCGTCCTGTCCTCCTAGTGGCCCTGCAGGTTCTCATGATAAGCTCTCCACAGGCCCCGGTTGGCAGGGGCCATAGTGTTCCTCTGGGGACCCAGCATGTGATACAATTATGGGAGGGAGAGAGGGATCTTTGGTCACACATGGGGGTCAGTCTCCTTCTTAAGCTGGCAGTGGGACCCCCCCTTGTTTGGCCACAGAGCGTGATGGTGTCCCCGACACCCGTGGAACATCCAGACAGACTGTGAGACAGGCCAACAACTAGGAGGTGTAGGTTGGGGAGGGACGTTGATCCATAGCCAGGGTGTAACCTGATCAGCCTCTGACCTCCAGTTCATCTCCAGGCTGGGCCACCATCCAGTTCACTAAGGCAACCTCCAGGAGCCTCCCAGTTAAAGGAAAACCGCCCTGAACACATTCGTGAGGCCAAGAACCCACTCACTCCCTGACTTTTTACAAAGTTTCAGGAGGGCCAGACATGGTGGCTCACTCCTGTACTCCCAGCACTTTGGGAGGCCAAGGCAGGAGCATCACTTGAGACCAGGAGTTTGAGACCAGCCTGGGTAACAACGAGATCTTGTCTCTGCAACAAATAAAAATAATTACTTTTAAAAGTTGCAGGAGCCAGGTGTCTGTGGTTCCAGCTACTCGGGAGGCTGAGGCTGGGAGGTCAAGGGTGCAGTGAGCTATGATCATGCCACTGCACTCCAGCCTGGGCCACAGGGTGAGACCCTGTCTCTAAAAACATGGGCTGTGCAGTGGAGCTGACAACCTTTGTACTAAGGGAGGCTGTGGGCTGGGCATCCTTTGGTGACGGACCAAACCTCAAGGTCAACAGAGACACCTGGCTGCACTCAGCCTCGTGTGTCCTGTTCACACTGACACCTGTGCTGTGCCCACGTCCTTGGTGCCAGCTGTGGAATTCTAGCGTAGAGGACTCAGTGCCCCAGGACTAAAAACAAGGCCTCAGCCTTGGCTTACTGGGTCCCCCACTCAGGACTGCACACAGGCAAGTGATGTGCGAGGCTGGTGAGTCGCCCAGGCCAAGCCCACCACACTCAAGGAACCCAGGGTGAGGGGACTGACCACAGTGAGGGCAGCACCCAAGAGGCTGGACATGCCTGGCCTTCCAGTGCCCTCACCGAGGTCTGCCCGAGCTGGAGTGGAGCTGGGTTCTCCAACATGGAGAACCTGCGGCTGAAAACCCTTCGGGTAATTTCTCACAGTTACTCTGCAGAGAGATTGTGGTGGCTGGAGGTTCCCGGCTGTCTGGGGTTTTATGCACGTTCATTTGGCTGCACACACATTAGCAAACTCCCTGCTGTGCGAAAAGGCTGCTGATGCAGTTGACAGCTGAATTCCAGAGAAAGAGGCCTCAAGTGCACCGTCTGGACCCCTTGGGGCACGGCAAGGCATGTGTCTGCCTGTGTGTGGAGAAGCGTTTTTTCTAAAGATGCAGTCAAGTGTGTCTGGGATGAGGCCTTCCTGTCACAATATTGAGGTTGCTTTGTGGCCTCTGGGTCAGATGCTCCATCTGTCAGCTTGCAAACATGAAGGACTCAGTGGCACAGAAACCTCACCACCTTTACCCAGCGCTGGCCAGGACCCACAAGCTGCCGGGAGCCAGTGGGGGCTGCACCGCCAGTGTCTTCCCCTGGGCTCCATTGCGACTGGAGCTTGTTTATCCCGTGTTCCCGGGTTTGAGTCTGAGACGTTCACTGCAGATTTGATTTTTAAAGACGTCCACAAAAAAAGAATATAAAAAATGCACCACAGGCCAGGTGCAGTGGCTCACGCCTGTAATCCCAGAAATTTGGGAGGCCAAGGCAGGCAGATCACCTGAGGTCAAGAGTTCAAGACCCGCCTGGCCAAAATGGTGAAACACCGTTTCTGCTAAAAATACAAAAATTAGCCAGGCATGGTGGCTCACATCTGTAATCCCAGCACTTTGGGAGGCCAAGGCAGGTGGATTACCTGAAGTCAGGAGTTCAAGACCAGCCTGACCAACATGGTGAAACACCAGGAACCTGCAGCCACCACAATCTCTTTGTAGAGTAACCGTGAGAAATTACCTGGAATAGTTTTCAGCAGCAGGTTCTCCATGTTGGAGAACCCAGCTCCACTCCAGCTCAGGCAGACCTTGGTGGGGGCACTGGAAGGCCAACATGGTGCAAAAATTAGCCAGGCATGGTGGCATGTGCCTATAGTCCCAGCTACTCAGGAGGCTGAGGCAAGAGAATTGTTTGAACCCTGGGGGCGGAAGTTGCAGTGAGCTGAGATTACACCACTGCACTCCAGCATGGGCGAGAGTGAGAAAAAAGCATCACCACAAACACCATACTTTGTGAACTAAAGTCTGGTTGCCAGGGTCTTGCCAGAGCTGAGGATATCCAAGGGGTTGTGTCCTGCACCCCAGGCCAGAGTCACCACTCCTGTGTATGTGCACATACACACCCCATCATGCTAACATTCCCATGTTCTCATCACACACACATCAACCCTCCAGCCTGACACAGCCCACCACAGCATAAGCAGAGGCATTCATTGACTAACAACTGTCCTGGTCAAAATCTATCCAGAGAAACTGCACACCTGCAATTCCTGAAACAACATCTCCAACGTACCAGGATGGGAGGCAGGAGGCCCAAAGCAGGAGTGCACAGCCCCACCAGGTGCACAGACCCACCAGGCGCACAGAGCCCTGGCCACCAGGCACATTGCTCACCTGCATCAGGGCTTTTAGGCCCAGCTGCCAACAAAGTTAGAATCCAGGTGAGCATCTGGGTGTATTCTTCTATGAGTCTTAGAATTTTAGGTTTTACTTTTAGGTCGTTAGTTCAGTTAGTTTTTATATATGGTCTTATGTAAGGATCCAACTTCACTTTTTTGCATGTTGACATCCAGCTTTCCTAGCATCATTTTTGAAAGATTGTCTTTCCTCCATTAAATGGTATTGACACCCTTGTCAAAAATCATTTGACCATATATGTGAGAGTTTATTTCTGGGCTTTATTCTATTTCATTGGTCTATATATCTGTCTTTATGCCAATACCACACTGTTTTAATTACTGTAGCTTTGTAGTTAATTTTGACAACAGAAAGTGTGAGTCCTTTAGCTTTGTTCTTTTTCAGGTTTGTTTTGGCTATTTGGAGTTCCCTGAGATTCTATATAAATTTTAGAATGGGTTTCAAAAAAACATCATTGGAATTTTGACAGGAGTTGCACTGAATCTTTAGGTAGTATTGACATCTAAATAATATTAAGACTTTCAATCCACGAACATGGTATGTCTTTCCATTTATTTATGTCTTCTTTCTTTCAGAAATATTTTATAGGTTTCATTGTAGAAGGCTTTCACTTTCTTGGTTAAGTTAATTTATAAGTATTTTGTTCTTTTTTATGCTATTGTAAATGAAATTGTTTTCTTACTTTTCAGATTGTTCATTATTGGTGTAAAGAAATGCAACTGATTTTTGAGTGCTGACTTTGTAACTTGCAACTTTTCTAAATTCATTTATTAGTTCTACCAGTTTTTATGTATATGTGAAATATCAAGGGTTTTCTACATTCACAATTATATCACCTGCAGACAGATAACTTTATTGTTTCTTTCCTATTTGCATACATTTTATTCCATTTTGTTGCCTAATTGCTCTAGCTAGAACTTTCAGTATTATGTTGAA